ATGCTCCAAACCCAAAGATTTTCGGATCAAAACGTAGCCCACACCAAGCTCTACCTTTCTTACAAAGAGGCTATGGTAGGAGACTACTAGAACTAGATGAATTTGAAGAGAGAAAGTATGTAGAAAGAGAGAGAACAGCCGTTCTAGGGTTTGAGTAAAAGAGATGAAGAAAAGTGAAGAAGAAGCTGCTGCTGCGAACTGATATATTCGAGCCTCGCTCGAGCGAAGGAGTGGTCGCTCGAGCGACCAGACACAAAGAAACCTCGCTCGAGCGCAGAAAGCCTCGCTCGAGCCAACAACACGAAGCTTTAGGTCTGCAACCCAGAAGCACACTTAAGCGCAAGAATGCTTGCTTGAGCAAAGAAACCCAAAATATAATCCTCGCTCGCTCGAGCAAAGGAAAGCTCGCTCGAGCCAAGAAACACAACCTTCAGGTCAAAAAGATATGCACATGCACGCTCGAGCGCAAGAATGCTCACTCGAGCCAACAGACACACCACTCAACTCTCACTCGAGCGAAGGAACCCTGGTTCGAACAAAGGAACTAAAACATTGAGCTCGCTCAAGCAAAGACACCAAAAATTGGGCAACAACAATTTGTTTCAAAACACACCCAACATGCTACAAACCTGCCTAACACTTCCTAAAACTCAAATACAAAGAATTAAAGGACGGAAATGAAACATATGCAACAACCGACATCCACGAAACCGAGTCCGGAATACAATAACCAAATGAGGGAAAACTGGGATCGCTATAACCTCCCCCCCTTAAAGAATTCCGTCCCTGAGATTAGTTATAGGTTTCAAAATTGTGATTTTTCAATCCTCAACAATATTGCAATTCAATATTCAACATCCTGACCCATTATCGGTCATCCCATCTCTTTTCAAGAGGCAATTCACAATATAATTCAATATACATTAACAACATGCTTTTCTTTGAAATTCAACAAATTCCAATACCATATTCCACCATTCCATAACACATTTAATGGTAATGATATATTTTCATTTCTACAACACATTTAACATATACAATGATAAATTGAACTTCCATTTTCAAGGCATATTCAATAATACTTCCATAAACCGAAACATATGCAATGTTTTACAACTTAAGACACATTCAATGTTCTTAAAGTTTATCAATACAACAAAATATTCAACATATGCTCAAACATCCACGAATAGATCCGGATACTTCTCTCGAACCTCCAATTCACTTTCCCAAGTGGCTTCCTCCACCCCGTGATATTTCCACAGAACTTTTACCAAGGGAATGGTCTTGCCTCGCAAGACTTGATCCCGTCTATCCCAGACCCTCACCGGTCTCTCCTCATACGAGGTATCCTCATTAACCTCTAAGTCGGTCCAATCCAATACATGTGACGGATCTGGCTTGTACTTCCGAAGCATACTAACATGAAACACGTTATGCACTCTGGACAACTGCGGCGACAAAGCTAAATGGCAAGCAACCTCGCCAATCCTCTCAAGGATCTCAAAAGGACAAATAAATCGAAGGGACAACTTTTCACTCTTCCCAAACCTCATCAAACCCCGCCTAGGTAATATTTTCAGAAAGACGTGATCACCCACCTCAAATGACAAAGGCCTCCGCCTACGGTCAGCATAACTCTTTTGGCGACTCTGGACTGTAACAAACCTCTCGCGGATAAGCTCAACTTTCTCTGTCGTTTCCCGCACCAACTCCGGGCCCAACAAAGGTGTATCACCCACCTCAGCCCAACACACTGAAGATCTACACGGTCGGCCATACAAGGCCTCAAACGGTGCCATACCAATACTCGATTGAAAACTGTTATTGTAGGCAAACTCCACTAAGGGCAAGTGCCTCTCCCACGTTCCACTAAAATCAAGGACACAGCCTCGAAGCATATCCTCAAGGATCAGAATAGTACGCTCGGACTGCTCGTCAGTCTAAGGATGATAAGCCGTGCTAATGGTCAATCTAGTGCCCAAGGCACTCTGCAAACTCTGCCACAACCTAGCAGTAAAACATGGATCTCTATCTGAGACGATCGACATTGGGACCCCGTGTAACCTCACTATGTCCCGAATATACAAGTTGGCAAGATGATCTATCGAATCTCTCATACGTATAGGAATAAAGTGCGCCGACTTAGTCAACCGATCTACGACCACCCAAATAGCATCACTACCCCGTTGAGTCCTCAGAAGACCTACAACGAAGTCCATCGTGACGTGCTCCCACTTCCACTCGGTAATAGGCAAAGGTTGTAACAAACCCGCTGGCCTCTGATGTTCGGCCTTCACTTGCTGACAAATAAGGCACTTAGATACAAAAACTACCACATCTTTCTTCATACCCCGCCACCAAAACTGGCGGCCCAAATCACGATACATCTTAGTGCCTCCCGAATGCACCGCAAGGTGTGAATGGTGAAACTCTCGGAGTACTTCCTCTCGGCAAGACTCCGGTGCAAACAAGCGGTCTCGGTACCTCACACTCATGTCGAGATACGCAGTCAAACCCCTCTCAACCTTCCCACTGGAGATCTTCTCCCGGAGGGATTCTACATCAAAGTCACTTCTCTGTGCCTCTAACACTCGATTCACAAGTGTAGGCTGTGCAACTACAGAAAACAAGGCTGCAGACTCAACAGATTTACCCAGAAGCAAATCAAACTCGCCAAGTGCACCCAACATTTCCCACTCCCGGATGGCTATACAAGCTACATCACTAATGGATTTCCTACTAAGGGCATCGGCCACAACATTGGCCTTCGCCGGATGGTAATGGAACTCGAAGTCGTAATCCTCAATAAACTCCATCCACCTCCTCTACCTCAAGTTCAAGTCTTTCTGTGTAAACAGATATTTCAAACTCTTATGATCCGAGAACATCTCGAACCTCTCACAATACATGTAGTGCCTCCAAATCTTCAAGGCAAAAATCACAGCTGCTAACTCTAGGTCATGTGTAGGGTAATTTCTCTCATGTGTTTTCAACTGCCGTGAGCCATAGGCTACCACTTTCCCCTCTTGCATCAACACACAACCCAAACCCTCTCGTGAGGCATCACAATACACTGCATAACCCAAACCCCTCTCCGGAATAATCAAAACTGGAGCGGTAGTAAGTCTAACCTTAAGTTCTTGAAACGATTTTTCACAAGTCTCACTCCATACAAATTTGACCCCTTTCCGAGTCAATCTAGTCAGAGGCAAAGCTAGCCTGGAGAAATATTTCACAAATCAACGGTAATAACCGGCCAATCCTAGAAAACTGCGGATCTCAAAAACACTCTTAGGCTGTGCCCAATCTTGCACTGCCTCTATCTTGGATGTATCAACAGACACCCCTTCCTCGGAGACTACATAGCCTAAGAACTTAACCTCTCTTAGCCAGAACGCACACTTCCCAAACTTGGTATACAGCTTATGGGCTCTAAGCAACTCAAGCACCACTCTCAAGTGTTCCTTGTGCTCCTCCTCAGAAGGTGAATAAATTAGAATGTCGTCTATGAAAACGACCACAAAACAATCTAAGAACTCCCGGAAGATCCAGTTCATCGAGTCCATAAACACTGTCAGTGCATTGGTGAGCCCCAAAGGCATCACCAGAACTCATAATGGCCATACCGCGTACGGAATGCCGTCTTCGGGATATCCTCCTCCCTGACCCTCAACTGATGGTAACCCGATCTCAAGTCTATCTTAGAGAAACAACGGGACCCTTTCAACTAGTCAAACAGATCATCTATACGAGGCATAGGGTACTTGTTCTTAACCGTAGCCCGATTCAATTTTCGGTAATCAATACAAAGTCTCAAAGCCCCATCTTTCTTTTTAGCAAAGAGGGTCGATGCTCCCCACGGTGAAGTACTAGGGCGGATAAAGCCCTTATCAAACAATTCCTGGAGTTGAATCTTCAACTCACTCAACTCGACTGGGGTAAAACGATACGATGCCATAGAAATCGGTGCCATGCCAAGCACTAAGTCAATAGAGAACTTGATCTCTCAATGCGGTGGTAAACTAACAAGGTCCTCGGGAAAAACATCCGAATACTCACAAACCACTCTCGGCAACTCAGCCTGGGTCTCATCACATTCACTACTCATACAGCTAGCGAGAAGGCAACTAAGCTCACTCTGCCCTCGCAGATCATACACTGGTGGCAAAACTCTACCAACCCGATCCCCTAGGAAATGGAAACAATCCCCGCTCAGGGTACATACAATGACCCTCTGGCGGTAGCAATCAATAACAACCCGGTATGACGATAACCAGTCTATACCCAAAATCACATCAAAATCTGACATAGCCATAACTACAAAAGAAAATGGAAGCCGGCGGTCAGCGACCTCAATATCACAACCTCTACACCCTTGCTTCAAAATCAAATCACCCCCAACAGGTGATGCAACACAAATAGGAGATGCCAACTGCGCCAACTCCAACCCCAAAATAGATGCAAATGCAGCAGATATAAAGGAATGGGATGCACCCGTATCAATCAACACATTAGCAACCGAGTTGCAAAACAAAAAGGTACCTCTCACAACAGATGGAGCCGGTACAAGATCCTGCACGGTAACAGCATACACATGCCCAGAAGGTCTCTGATCTACCTGCTCAGCTCTCGGAGCAAAAGACTGCTGCACAGACTGAGCCGATAAGGCTCCCTAATTGGCCCTCGAGGCCTGAACAGACTGAGTTGGCTGATAACTCTACCTCGACCCAGATGCACCAGATGTGCCACTCAACTGCGGGCAGAACCTCGTCAGGTGCCATGCCTAACCACACTGGTAACAAGAGAGTGACTGGCCTCTACCTTGACTCTGGCTCTGAGGACGAGCCGAAGATGAAGCTACTCTCTGCCTCCTCCCTTCTACAGGCAAGCTGGAGACTTGTGGCCCAGCTAACCACATTTGTAACAAGTAAAGTCTCCCTGACTGCCTCTCCAAGAACCTGAACTCGGCACTAGAAAGGTAGATCACGCAAACGCACCATGGGACTGTTGAATGTTAGAACCCCTATGCCTCCTACCATCCTCTTGGTCATCCTGACTCCTTTTGAAGCCCCTCATTCTATCCTCCTCCTCATGCATAATAATCTCAAGATGCACCGCAGCATCCACAAGGCGCCCATGCTCCCGAGTCATGGACCTAGCAACCCTAAGCTTGAGCCCGGTCCTCAACTTCTTTTTGAACTCAAGACAACGGCGTTCCTCAGACGCCACTAACTCCAGTGCAAACCTCGATAAGCTAGTAAACGCGGCCTCAAACTCAGCCACTGGTGTATTCAGCTGCTTGAGCTGATAGAACTGATCCCTCGACTTCTCCCTAACAGAGGGAGGCAAAAAAATTCTCTTGGAAGGCATCAACGAAACCCTCCCAAGTCCCTCCAATACGGCTCCGAATAAACTTTCACCAATGACCCGCATCTCTCTTCAGCTGGAAGGACGCGAAGGTCACCCGTAAACTTCCGTCTTCGATACCTAGCATCTCAAACGCCTTTGTCATCCGCTCAAGCCACTCATCAGCCTTAAGTGGCTCTTTAGGATCCCCTAGAAACTCATCTGGATTAGACCGAAAAAACTCCCTCTTTAGAAAAGAAGGCCCTACCTCAGCAACATGGGCCTGGACTTGATTCCCAGCTTTGAGAATGTCCATGGATTTCCTCAATGCTCCTGTCATCTCGCGGGCTAAGGCGCTCATGGCCTGCTGACCTACTGGCTCGGCTATATTAGCCTGACCAACACTCTCCTGCTGCGCCGGAACCTCATCCGATATAGGCACCTCCTGCCTACCACGCCTACCACCACGTTCTCGTCCTGGCATCCTAATAAAGGTAACAAGAACATTAGCACATTCACAAATGTGCCGAAGCTATATCACTCACGTCCTAATACATTGGACAACAGTAATTCATTCCACGTAAGCACATAATCACGTAAGCACTTACGAATTTCGTTTCTGGATAATGACAGTCCCGCGGCGTTACTAGAGTTCCAGTTAGAAACAGCATTGATCAAGTGCTTTTCCAACAGGACTCCTAGAAACCCAAGGATCCAATCAACATCCTAGAAACTAAATTTCATACCCATATAGTCACATAAGCATGTTATCAAATAAATGCATAACATCATACGTAAGTCTCTAACAAGCGAGACAAACCCATTGTGGTGCTAACCACTTCCCACGTACCCAAAGTATTCAAACCCAGTACGCTCTGATACCAAGTTGTCACGCCCTCAAAAAATACATATAAACCCAACATTCTTGGCATGCATAGACATAAGAGAATAGAGCATATTTCCATTTATCAGAGTATTAAGTACAAAAGCATTACATGTTGACATCAAAAGTAAATGCCCTACGGGCTTACAACTTTCCACGTCAACACTTAGGTACAACAAAAGAAGAGTTTTAACTCTTTATACAAAATAAGCCTTTGGCTTGATTTACATGTAGTACAAAAAGATAATAACAAAAGAGTCTTTCAGCCTTTAAGCCTCCCAAGCTACGTCCTTGGAGGTGGCATACCATCAGTACCTGAAAATGATGTCCCATAAAGGGTGAGCCAAAGCCTAGTAGAAATATACTAAACCAAATATGGGAAATAACTAAAACATTAGCATTTGATACATGGTTGACACTTGTAAACCAACTCACAACACTTCTCAGTTCCATGACAAATACACCTATATTTCATTTCACTTTCCTTTACTCAATCAATTCGAATTCATAAACATGGCTCAATACCTAACCAAACAATTAAATGAGACTACAACTCATATTAAAACACTTTCATTGTCTACAATTCCAATGAGACAACTCATAATAAAACATTTCAATACTTTGATTATCGACGTTATGCAAACGTAATTAAGATTTCAGAACTTTCACCCTGGACACTCCGGCTAACTTAGTTATCAATGGAGTCCATCCCCTATCTCCTCCCAAACGGGTTGAGAGTACATCCTCTATCTTCTCCCAAATAATATATATATACAATGTATTTAAACACTTATCATATACAATGATCAATCAATACACATATTCGATGTATTATTCCAACCGTCATATTCAATGACATAGCACATTCGATTAGTTTCAGTTTTCCCTAATCAACATACAGTGTCTACAACAATCAAGACTATCCTCCACCGATAGCCCAAAGCAGTTATTTCTAAACAGATAATAAATTTATCAAACAGATAAAATACCAACATTTTCATAGGTGAGTGATTAATTTGTCTAACTACACCATTCAATCTCACAACTCCCCAATTTCATGATTTTCAACTCAATTTCACATTTCCCCAAAATTAATTATTTAAGTTAATTATTCAACATAATTAGGGCATTTTTTCCTTATTCACAATGTTGCCCCCAAGGCCCAAATTTCACTCATATTTCATAAACAACCCCAATTTCAAGTCTCTTACACATATTTGACTCAAACATGGAAAACCCCTCTTTTATAAATTACAAATCAAACCCTAACTTTTCCAAAATTTCCATAATTCACCATCTAATCAAAATGACTAAAATTTATGTCAAAACCCATAAGCAGGAGTAGGGTATCCCTACCTCAAATGAAGAGACCCAATGAAGAAGATGGAGAAAACTCAAGATGCTCCAAACCCAAAGATTTTCGGATCAAAACGTAGCCCACACCAAGCTTTACCTTTCTTACAAAGAGGCTAGAGTAGGAGACTACTAGAACTAGATGGATTTGTAGAGAGAAGGTATGTAGAGAGAGAGAGAGCAGCCGTTCTAGGGTTTGAGTAAAAGAGATGAAGAAAAGTGAAGAAGAAGCTGCTGCTGCGAACTGATATATTTGAGCTTCACTTGAGCAAAGAAGTAGTCGCTCGAGCGACTAGACACAAAGAAACTTCGCTCAAGCGCAGAAAGCCTCGCTCGAGCCAACAACACGAAGCTTTAGGCCTGCAACCCACAAGCAGGCTCAAGCGCAAGAATGCTCACTCGAGCGAAGAAACCCAAAATATAGTCCTCGCTCGCTCGAGCGAAGGAAAGCTCACTTGAGCCAAAAAAACACAACCTTCGGGTCAAAAAGAGACGCAAACGCACGCTCGAGCGCAAGAATGCTCGCTCGAGCCAACAGACACACCACTCAACTCTCGCTCGAGCGAAAGAACCCTGGCTCAAGTGAAGGAACTAAAACATTGAGCTCGCTCAAGCGAAGACACCAAAAACTGGGCAGCAACAATTTGTTTCAAAACACACCCAACCTGTTACAAACCTGCCTAACACATCCTAAAACTCAAATACAAAGAATTAAATGACAGAAATGAAACATATGCAACAACCGACATCCACGGAACCGAGTCCGAAATACAACAACCAAATGAGGAAAAATCGGGATCGCTATAATCTGTGTTACCATATTTTGATGTGCCCTCATCACTCAAGACTTTAAACCTACAAGTCAACAATTTGGGTTGACCAATTCATGTAAGAGGTAAGCTAAGTCTAAAACACTTCATGTATTCACAACCAAAGGCAATCTTTCTACCATCAAATTGAGTAGGTAACTGTTGTGAAGTAATCTTGATTGTTTATCAAAAATAGAGGCTGAAATTCAATGCGTTGGTTGCTGCATTCAATTCGTTGGTTGATAGCCGTATACGCATTAAATGATTTTATACTGATAGTTGTACTTGAAATAAATGCGTTCACATTGTATGTTTTTATCTATATATAGCTATGTTATTGTAAGGTTTCAATGTGTGGAAGAGAAAGAAAATAATAGAGTGCTCTGTTTGTTTATGTTTTTCCTCAGAATTATTTTGAGTGAATTTGAATTTTAGTTTGGTTCAGTTTTTAAACTTCTCATTGTGAATCACCAACAGTGGAATCAGAGCCCAAGGTAGCTTGAATTTGCAGACATTCTACAAAATTTTTAAAAAACAGAGTGTGTTTTCAAAAATTGCCCAGAAATCAAAGTGGTCGAAATCCATTTTTGATCACATTAGATTGAAGCTCCCGATGAGACGAGCACAACCATGAAAACCGCGTCGAAAATGCATATTGGACGGCCCCACACGCTACATATACAATGTATTTAAACACTTATCATATACAATGATCAATCAATACACATATTCGATGTATTATTCCAACCGTCATATTCAATGACATAACACATTCGATTAGTTTCAGTTTTCCCTAATCAACATGCAATGTCTACAACAATCAAGACTATCCTCCACCGATAGCCCAAAGCAGTTATTTCTAAACAGATAATAAATTTATCAAACAGATAAAATACCAACATTTTCATAGGTGAGTGATTAATTTGTCCAACTACACCATTCAATCTTATAACTCCCCAATTTCATGATTTTCAACTCAATTTCACATTTTTCCAAATTAATTATTTAAGTTAATTATTCAACATAATTAGGGCATTTTTCCCTTATTCACAATGTTGCCCCCAAGGCCCAAATTTCACTCATATTTCATAAACAACCCCAATTTCAAGTCTCTTACACATATTTGACTCAAACATGGAAAACCCCTCTTTCATAAATTACAAATCAAACCCTAACTTTCTCAAAATTTCCATAATTCACCATCTAATCAAAATGACTAAAATTTATGTTAAAACCCATAAGAAGAAGTAGGGTATCCCCTACCTCAAATGAAGAGACCCAATGGAGAAAATGGAGAAAACTCAAGATGCTCCAAACCCAAAGATTTTCGGATCAAAACGTAGCCCACACCAAGCTCTACCTTTCTTACAAAGAGGCTATGGTAGGAGACTACTAGAACTAGATGGATTTGAAGAGAGAAGGTATGTAGAAAGAGAGAGAACAGCCGTTCTAGGGTTTGAGTAAAAGAGATGAAGAAAAGTAAAGAAGAAGCTGCTGCTGCGAACTGATATATTCGAGCCTCGCTCGATCCAAGGAGTGGTCGCTCGAGCGACCAAACACAAAGAAACCTCGCTCGAGCGCAGAAAGCCTCGCTTGAGCCAACAACACGAAGCATCAGGTCTGCAACCCAGAAGCACGCTCAAGCGCAAGAATGCTTGCTCGAGCAAAGAAACCCAAAATATAATCCTCGCTCGCTCGAGCAAAGGAAAGTTTGCTCGAGCCAAGAAACACAACCTTCAGGTCAAAAAGAGACGCAGATGCACGCTCGAGCGCAAGAATGCTCGCTCGAGCCAACAGACACACCACTCAACTCTCACTCGAGCGAAGGAACCCTGGTTCGAGCAAAGGAACTAAAACATTGAGCTCGCTCGAGCGAAGACACAAAAAATTGGGCAGCAACAATTTGTTTCAAAACACACCCAACATGCTACAAACCTGCCTAACACATCCTAAAACTCAAATACAAAGAATTAAAGGATGGAAATGAAACATATGCAACAACCGACATCCACGAAACCGAGTCCAGAATACAATAACCAAAG